TGTCCAATCTTGCAATGCTTGTGTCCAATAATGCGGTGTACAAAAATGCGGTGTCCAATAATGCGGTGTCCAATAATGCGGTGTCCAATAATGCTTGTGTCCGATAATGCGGTATCCAATAATGCTTGTGTCCAATAATGCGGTGTCCAATGATTTGGTGTCCAATAGTGCGTGTCCAATCGAGCGGTGTCCAATCGTTACGTGTCCAATAGAAGGTCACCCGTCGCCGGGCCCGCAGGGGCGCTATTGCTGCCCGCGCGCTTCCGGGTGCGAAATTCGCCCCGCGCGGCTCGCAGGGCCGGGGCGGTCGATCCTGGGCCCGCTCTCCGGCGCGTTGGTCCTCCGGCTCCGCCGATCCTCCGGACCTTCCTGGGCCTCCGCCCGTGCTCGCCCCTCGGTTTACGGTCCGGCCGGCGCCTCTTCTCTCGCCCCTCAGGCGCGGCTCCGCGTGCTCGGGCCCCAGGTCCCAGGGCGGCTCGGCTTCTCGGCGTTCGCCGCCCGTCGGCGCCTCTCGCCCTCGCCCCTAGACTCGCTCCTCGCTCCGTCTGGCCCCCTGGCTTCCCCGCGGCCGCCGCTCGCTGGCCTCCTCGCGCTCTCGCCCCTCTGCTCTCTCTCTCTCTCTCGCCACCTCTCGGCCACGCCGTCCGTTGGTCCCCTCGCTGGTCAGGTCGGCTCGGTGACGCTCGGTGGGCGCGTTACAAAAATAAAAAAAAATTCTCGGGTAAGCGGGCAAGTAAAAAAAAAAGGTGTGGCTGCGACCCCGGGAGGTTTCCCTACGGCCTCGCGCGGATCCTCTCTTCCCGGGCGGACCGACACCGCGCCTTGGGACGGCAGCGGGGAGCTGGCACGCGGCAGCTAATCCGCCACGTCACAACGAATATAGAATGATATTGAAACAGTAACTTACATCATGTACAGTTCGTCGTTATATCGCAAGACAAAGTTGTTGATTGCTCGAGATTCTGAACATGACTACGATATTTTTAAGGTACATTAGATCGGGGGAAAAGGGAAGTCGGAAAAGTAGGGGAAAGTCAAGGGTGAAAAACAATACGTTATGTTAGAGAAATAATGTGGTCATATATTGAGTTTAAGTTTTCTGTGTTATTTTGTAAATTTATGGTTTCGTCAGTTTATGTTATATTCGTATAACAGGAATTATACAAGTATAATTTAGGCTTCCTCTTAATAACAAACACGACATTTAATTGAATTTGTCACATATTTATATAAACCGTACTAACATAGATTGTAACTTTTAGATTACTTGAAAAGGACCAAAAACTGTGGTCGAAACGTTGTAAATTTCAACTGCATTAAACTTGCCAGACATGGTCAAAAAAGTGCTCATGGTTTTAAAACATTATACTTAAGACGGTCTTGAAATAAGAACGGACTATGAATCCTACCGGCCTATGATATGGACACGCGTAAAATATGCGATTAGTTATAATTTTCTTTATGCATAGGGGAAGGTGGGGCACATTGAGACACGGGGCACTATGTGACAGCGACTTTTTCTCAAAACGCACCGAGCGCAGCCAAACATTAACACACACAAAAGAAAGGCGTCATAAAAAAAGTTACTTTGACGGAGTTTCAGAAGTCTCTGAAAAAAATCAGGGCGGCTAGAGTAATATAACAAAATCCGAACAGATCGGCAATTTGATTTTCAATTTATAGTTTTGTTTCTCAAGGTAATGCATTTCTTTTGATGGCACAAGTATACATGGCCTGTTTTAAGATTATGTTTAAAGTTTTATTTAAGATTATAATCATGTTAATGCAAGTCTCGTATCACTGTCCACCTGAAGTTAAGTGGCAAAGGTATGCTTGGGGCAGTAATCCTTGTGGCACATTGTGACATGCTTATGTTTGTTTATCAATTAATTATTCGCTCTTTTATCATTGTTTTCTCTTTTATCATTGATTATTAAGCTAAAATTACCAGACGTCCCTTAAAAAAAACCGATTATTCGGGATTTGTGATTTAGATATGTGTTCAGACTTTTATAACTCGTAGCTCCTTCTTGTCCGAGATATGGAAAAAAGACTAGGCTAGGCTAGGTTAGGTTAGGTTAGGTTTTTGGGTTTGTCCCAATTTGTCATACCGATTATCTGATAACCGTAAGTTAAGCATGGTTCGACACAGGAAAAAAAGACAAATAGAGTCCATGATGGGGAAAAGATGAAAAAAGCCATAAAAGCAGTAATAATAAATGAAATGTCTTTACGCAAGGCTGGCGAAATCTACGAAATTAACTTTGAAACACTTAGAAGATATGTCAAGAAAACATCTCCTGTTGAAGGTGAGAATATACAAGCAGAGCAACTAATATTGAATATAGATTTTAGTCAACATTACAATTCACGTCAAATATTTTCTGAAGAAGAGGAGCAATTGTTAGTTGAATACTTTTTAACATGTACTGAACTTGGCCATGGCCTTTTCTCAGAGAAAGCCAGACAAATAGTTTACGAATTTGCTGTCAGAAATGATAAGAAAATTCCTGAATCATGGAGAACACATCAAAAAGCTGGCTTAGAGTGGCTATATGCGTTTAAAAAACGCCATCCAGTCATTTCTTTAAGGAAGCCAGAGCCATGTAGTTTGAGTCGTAGCTCAGCATTTAACAAGCATAATGTAGGCAAATATTTTGAAAATTTAGAGATAGTAATTAAACGCAATCCAAATTTTGCAAATGGTTTGCGGGTTTATAATTTGGACGAGACAGGAACTTGTACAGTTCAATCAGGCAGGAACAAAATTTTAGCGAGAAAAGGTCAAAGAAGAGTGTCTGTGAAAACAAGCGCTGAAAGGGGCACGCTTGTTACCACTTGCATCATTGTAAATGCACTTGGAAATGTTTTCCCTCCAATCATGATTTTTCCAAGAAAAAAGTTTGTGAATCATATGATTTGTGGAGGCTATCCTGGAACTCTTGGCCTGGCCTTCCCATCAGGTTGGATGGAACAAAACAATTTCTTACTTGTTTTGAAAAGATTCATTGCTCTTACAAATAGCACTAAAGAAAATGAATCCCTCTTGATCATGGATAATCTAGAGGCTCACATCACTATTGAGGCTATTGATCTGTGCAAAGCAAATGGGGTAACGATTCTTACCCTGCATCCACATACTTCTCACATGTGCCAGCCTTTGGACCGAACCTGCTTTGGGCCATTTAGTACAGCCTATGACAAGGCTCTAAGCTCTTGGATGACAAGGAATCCAGGACATACAGTAACAATTTACAATATTGCTGCTCTAGTAAAAGAAGCAATGGAAGTTGCAATTACCCCGGATAACATTAAATCTGGATTTAAAGCCTGCGGAATTTAACCTTTTAATCCCCAAATTTTTACGGACAAGGACTTCAAGTTATCACATGTGAGTTTTAGTGTCTCGTTTACCTCTCATTCTTTAGTATGCATAATATAAAAGTGCCTATCTACATGCCATGTTTTTGTCTGATTTCAAGGAGACAGACAGAGAGCTACCTCCTCCAGAAAATGCATCTCCGAATCAAGAACATGAGGAGACACTTGACGTAATTGAAGTAAATATTATTTTCTTTTATTTTTTGTTTTCGTAATTCGTCTTTTATTGTTTCCTTTATAAAAATTACACTTTTTTAAAATTTTAGACAGATCAGCCAACTACAAGCAAAGTTGATGGGAAAAATAAGATAATTGTTACTCCAGAAGAAATTGCACCATATCCCAAAGCAGCTCCAAGAAAAAAACAAGCAAAGGTGGACGTAAAAAAGGGAAAACAATGATAGCTACAGACACTCCCGTTCGTAATGAATTGAAGAGTATGAAGGCATCAAAGAATGTCCGTTTCAATAAAGTGAAAACTGTAACAAAAAAATTATTTGATGATTCTGATCCGGATGATGTGGAGACGATGAAAGTTGCGAAGCGTAGAAAGATTGCCGAAATTCTACCTATGCCTGATCCTGATAACAAACAAATTTTGAAAAAGAATCCAGAAGAAGGAGAATTTGTGCTGGTTAAGTTTCTGCCTAAAAATGTTAACAAAGGAAAAAGCAAAGGCCAACCAAAGTCCATATTTTATGTAGGGAAAATAATAAAAGAAATTGACGATGATGGTGACTGTGAAGTAAGCTACTTTCGTCAAAGCGTCAAGTGTTATAATAAATTTGTAATGCCGAATAAGCCTGATCTGAAAAGTGTGTCTATTTCTGACATACACATGATTTTACCAAAACCTACTGTGAGTGGAACAAAGAGGCAACAATCCCAATACGAGTTTGCTGTTAATTTCTCTCTTCTCACTTTCGGTTAATATAGTGAGCCAAAGAAGCTTTTGATACTTATGTTTAATTCAAGAAAGTTTTAAAATTTTATTTTATTTTATTGATTGTTTTTATAAGTTAAAGAAACATTTTATTTTGATTTATTTTAATGGTTTAATATTATATTTCAATGTATTTTATTAAGATTGACATTAGATCAACTTAAAAAATTTATTTTTTGTTTTATATTGTATCAATGTTGAAGGTGCAATAATAAATCTTCAAATGTATTCGAAATGTATTAGAAAGATTTTTTTCCGGCTTTAAAACTCCTAACTTTGGTCTGTCACATACTGCCCCATGCCTGTCACATACTACCCCATACGTGGGGCAGTATGTGACAAATGGGGTACTATGTGATAGTAACTATTTCTCAATTGTTTGCAAAGATTAAAATTTGGAAAAATTACTAACTGTTCCTTGTTGAAAGGGGAACTTAATCAACTCATAAGAATTTGAATATTCTTTTACACCAAAAAGAAGGAGCGGAAAAACAAAATCTGTCACAATGTGCCCCACCTTCCCCTACGCTATGCAGCTATGCAAGTTTTGTCTGGTTTGGCCATAATATATCGCAGAGCTCTGTAAGAAATGCACATTTTGATCGATTTTCAACTTGGTCCGGTCAACTTATTTATTCCTCTTACCTCGCCGTCCCATGCGAAACCACCGAGCTGCTCGAGCCTTAGGAGCGTATAACTGCCCATACGGCACAGAAATATTGCAGCAACATTGCAGAAATATTTCTTTGCAACATTGCAATATTGCAGAAATGTTGCAAAATGTTGCTGCAACACTGCTGTAATCTTGCAGCAACGGTAAAATGTCCGCCTTCAGAAATATTGCTACGTAACGTTGTAACAATGTTGCAATAAAATAATTATGCAATAATGCTTTGGAAATGTGCCAGTATACGGTTGAGCTGGATATTTTATGCGTAATAACATTTTTCGTATAAATTTATATATATTTTTCGCTTGACAAACTGTGTATTATTATATGTAATTAAATTTAATTATGTATATAATTAAACTTAATTACGTATAATGGCATACAGTTTGTTAAGCGAAAAATATATGTAAATTAACGCAAAAAATATTATTACACACAAAATATTTAGTCCAACAGTATATTGATACATTTTCTATTTACTTATTTGTTATAATTAGACGTACATGGCTTACTTAATATAAGTATTATTTTAGATTATATACAAGTTGATAATAGCTTTAACATACGAAGTGAAACCATTTTGGAACGCATTTTTAAAAAGTTTTAAAATGATAAATATCACTTAGGGCCAGTTTCACAACTCGGTTAACTTTTAACCAGAGTTCAATCAACTTCCTATCTTTTTCTATTTATCTAAGAAGAGACAAAGAATCAATTAACCTTCGGTTAGCAGCTAACCGACGTTTGTGAAACTGGCCCTTAATGTATACTTCATATGTGAACTTATTCGTAATGACACTGTGGCGGCCTACGGCAGCCACAAGGCGCCTGCGGCACACTCACGCACGCCACGAAATACAGTAGTTCGCGGCGCCACCGATGGGTGGCGAATCGCGTGAGCCCCAAACTCGTGTTTAAGATTCGGACAGCACTAGTATATAAGGGGGACCCTCGCATCGAATGCATGATTATGAATCAGTTTTCCGGCGCAAGTCGCCGAGGAGGAGTCATCCGTAAGCGCCAAGCGCTCACAAAACTCCTCCACAAGAAGCGCCAGTCGCTTTTCCAGGCGCTAGCCGCCTCTCCAGAGCGCCAGCCGCTCTTCCAGGCGCCAGTCGCCTACCCGAAGCGACAAGCGTTCATAAGACTCCTCCACAAGAAGTGCCAGTCGCTCGTTCAGGCGCTAGTCGCCTTTCCGAGCACTAGCCGCTCTTCCAGGCACCAGCTTCACCAGGGCGCCAGCGGACGCAGCCACAGCCCATACACTTGCAGACCAAGCGTCCTAGGGTAGAAGACCTACCGGCCGTCGGCCAGGCTCGTCAGCGCCGAAGCCTCCGAGAGATCTTCCGGAGCGGTCCAAGACGCGGACAACCAGACAAAGTTTAGGGGTGTTCGACACCCCGCTTGTAAGTGCAAATGGAAATAAAGAATTGACTTTATACAACCAAGCGTCATTGGCATTACCTTCCACTACCCTTCCAGTTGCGATCACCCCCACTGCGTAAAGCGTAGTAACATATAAAATAAACGGACAGGCCAGATACGGCCATACAGAGGGGCTAAAGACACATAAAATATATTTTAATCTTGGAATTTAGAGGCAAGAAAAATGTATATACAGGGTGTCTGATGCAAAAGTAGCCAACTTGAAAATAGTGGTAGATTGGGTTAAACTAAGGAGAAATGTCATGTGCCGCGGTACAAAAGTAACAATAGTTATCGAGTAATTAATTTACACGTTTGAGCGAATGAAGATGCAGGAGACGGTAGGCCGGACTCGGAAGGCATTTAAGAAAATCGATCGATGAACGGGAGGTGGAGCGACGCACGAGATACACCGTGGTGGGAAAAAACCTAGGCGCGGTGGGGAGCTCGGCGCGGGCGGCGAGAGCGGCAGCGAGCGCGAGCGACGGGCGACCCGAAACATAAACATAGTATCTCGCGCGTCGCTCCACCTCCCGCTCATCGATCAATTTTCTTAAATGCCTTCCGAGTCCGGCCTACCGTATTCTGCATCCTCATTCGCTCAGACGTGTAAATTAATTACTCGATAACTATTGTTACTTTTGTACCGCGGCACATGGTATTTCTCCTTAGTTTAACCCAATCTACCACTATTTTCAAGTTGGCTACTTTTGCATCAGACACCCGGTACACTTCTTCAGTTTTTTAAGTTTTGACCTTGAAAATGACCTTGTCGCAAATTTTCATTGTCATATTCGCAATCAGCATTCAAAAATACAAAGAATAGTGTAGTTTCAAAAAAATCGGAATGTTGCACACGGTTCATTTGGACACAGGAATTTTGGAAACATAAAAGTTGCACACCATAAAGTTGAACACGGTGCAAATGGACACCATTCTTTTGAAAAGTTGCAGACTATAATATTGGACACGGCGCAAATGGACACCATTTATTTGTACATGTAAAAGTTGCACACGGCTCAAGTTGACATGACACTGCTCATTTACACACGGTGAAAGTTGCACGCCGAAAAGTGGACACCGTTCATGATTTAAAAAATGGTAATTTTACAGCATCGTGTATCAAGTCAAAATCACCAAATTCAGTCAATTGCCAAATCAAGTCAAAAAGTCCTGTACTACTTTTTCCTACGACAAACAGTTATCGAGATATCAGAAGCTAAACATTGAAAAAGCTATAAATTATCTCTGGAATATCTCAAAAAGTATTAGGCAAATTAAACAATGTTTCGGACAAAAGTTGTTCATATTATTCAGTAGAATAAGATAGTATAATAAACAATAGGGAGTTTTATTTAAAAACTTGAAAGTGACCTTTATATGACCTTCAAGCAATTATTCAAGGTCAAATTAATGACACCGTCTTATGTCACCCTCGAAACCAAACATTTTTTGTCTAAAACATTTTTTAATAAAATGCATATTTTTCCAAATTAACGCCTGATACGGTTGCTCTGTAACACCCTGTATGATGATATTATGAGAATATTATAACCTACGTGTACTTAAGTAAATAAAAAATTTGTAAATGTTTTTCTTAAATATTGTGGGGACATCATTTGTTTCATAGAGGGCAAATTATAATACTCGGCTATATGTCCTATTATACAGGGTGAGTCACAACATTTGTGCCAGAGCTCGTGAGAAGGTAGAACGGAACGAGATGAACTGAAAAGTCCTGAACCATTTGCAATTTTCGCAATAGTTAACGAGTAATAAATTATCGAAAA